GTCGAAACGTGCCGAAAATCATATGAGAGCTTCAGAGATCCTCTACAACAGTGTATTGATGCTGACGGCCGCCATCTTCGAGATATAATTTTCAAACAATAATTTTTAAAAATGGGATTCAATACTTATTTTACTAAAAAAAAGTTTTTTCTCTAAGTTTTACTGTTCGTTTTTTATAACCCTTCAAAACTCGTCAGTCGACTCTGCCGCACTCTGTATTACAATATAAATATTTGTTTAATGTTGTATAATATTTTCACTATTTCTCCAAAAATAAATAAAAACAACTTATTTAAATATCCTTTAAGTTCATTATTGATGATCATAATTACATAAAATCAGATTATACAACCCAATTCTAGCTTCTTATTGTGAAATAGCTTATGTTACTTTTATTTTAAATTTAATTAATGTATCGATACTCTTGATACAGTATATTGAATTCCTTTTGGTATTCCTGTTTATAAAAACTACTCAAGTATCATGTTATACATACCAATACACAACTCAAATTATTTGACAAACTATTATTTCAAAGACTATGGTTATAAACAATTAACTGTCAATATGTGCTGATTTTGTTCGTCCATAAGAATGATTTTAGTTGAAACCTAATTTATGATAAACAAAATATTTTTTAAATACTAAACTTTTTATAAAATAAGAAATACTAACAGTAGTATGAATTGTTTTTAACTATTGTTCTTCTGTCACTGTTATTTATTTAAATAAATTATTATAAATATTCTTATTTATTCTAAACCAATCTGAAATGGTAAATATACTTTAATCATAAAATAATTATAAATTTATAAAATTCCAAATCATAAAAAATAGTAATAACTAATATTTAATGTAAATTTAAATGGGTGTTAATTATTCATATAAGTATTCTGTTTCAGTTTTAATTTAAAAAATAATACATTGAACGCAGAATGTAACGAAAACAAAAATTACGAACTATCCAAAAATTACATTATATTGTACAAGTTTCAACTAATGCATATTGTATAATGCATACATATACCGTGTAGTGAAAACAGAAACAATCCTACAACATCTGTATTATTTAATTATATTCACATAGAAACAATGCGTCTGCACGATGCCAGTTCTTATTAAAATCAAGTTATATAAAGGTTTTCAAATTGTTATCCCATTTCGTCTCGAATTTAATTCTGTGATACATAATTATTATATAATATAATATACAACAATTTGAAATTATTATTATTTTTATATTTCTTATAGTCTGATTCCTAATGGCTTGCCGCTCACTAAAATCTAACAAATTTATCTTAAGTAATTTTCATTACAGTAATACATAAATACTAAGCTTTACTCTTTTAGTATGATTACAATTAATGATATAAGGAATATGGTTCAGATCCAGAAATTCTAAACCTAATACTTTTTTTAAAGACATATTTATTTCAAAATATTAATAATGATGTGGAACCTTTATTAGTTTATAATAATAATAATAAAGTAGTTAGTTAATAATAATAAATATTACATTGGAATATTTATATAATTTATATAACTTATATTTCAGTATAATTGATCAGTTCAGTTAAACAAATTAAAATTACAAATTAATTAATACAATATTATCGACTAATAAACTTTATTATTATTTAACATAAATCGTCATTGGTCAATGAAACTAAAACGATTACGAATTTTTATTTTTAAATGAATTGATTCCCTATAATTTATTTATTTAATACTATCCATATACTATCCATTTATACATGTATGATGTTTGTTCAGGGAATATTATTGTAGATTATTCTGCATAAATATGTTTAAGCATTTTGAAATAAGTATCTATATAAGATCGAGGTGTGATGCATTTTAAATATTATATATAATGATAATAATTAAATTGGTAATGTTCAAAATAAAGTGATTAAACTAATAAGTAACTAGTACACACATTGCGAAAATTCGCAATAGATAATTTATTTATATAATAAAAAGTATAAGTGCAATCGAATCAATAAATAAACACATTTTAAAAAAAAACCAATAAATGAGGATAATATCGAATATTGCAAGAAATATCGAAATTACAGAGAGTGTTTATAAAAATATATGTTCCGCAGCATTAGGATAGACTATTTATGATAGGGTGTAATATTTATATAAAATAATTTTACAGTGCTACCTTCCAGACAATATTAGCTATTTTAAGTAATAATATTAATATTGTTTACGAGTTGTTTGTTGTTATATCATTGGGTAAGAGCCAATGAGAATGCAGTATTTGGAAAAAATCATATGTAAAGTTGATTGTGCACACATAATTTTCCTCAAACTCAAAAAATTAAACAGTTAATAGCTTAAAAGAAAGAGCTTGATCCACTTAGTTTTCTGAAAGTGAAATGATCAAAATCCATTCAGCTATGAAAATTCGAATTGCTTGAGTGAAAGTGTCTCATTAGAAATGTACAGGGAAGAATCGCGTTGGTGGGAGTTGAGTAAATTCAATGATTGATGACATATCTGTGTCTAAATACTTTTCATTAAAAAAAAAAAAAAAAAAAAAAAAAAAAAAAATGAAGGAAATTGGCTGGATAAAACGGCTAGATGGACTGACTTTAGTTTTCATAATTTTTTTAAATATGTAAGATAATAATAATATAAAGTGTTATCTAATCACCTTAGTATAAATAATTATTGATAATTATGATAATTTTTGATTTTAAAAATAAATTAATTCATTATTTATTTATCAATAGTTTTAAAAATGAAAAGTATAAAAAAAAAATAATAAAGATATCTTAACCGTTATCCAGTTAAAGAATTATAAAAAAAATATTATTTATATTAATATTATATTTTTTATAAAAACTATTAGTTTAGAAAACACATAGAATCATAAATCATTTTAATTTTATTAGAAGTTTAATAATATTTAGTAAATATTTTCTATTATGAAAACGATAAAAAATCCAAATATTTATCGTTGTTCACTTCTAATATTGTCAACTATTTTACTATAAATCTATATGTGGAATAAAATATTTTTTCGAACTTCCGTTTTTTCGACTTTGTTGTACACTCAAAGAGTGCATATTAAAAATATGTATATTTTTTCTTCTCTCTCTTTCCATCTCATAACATAAATACATTTTTTCAAAATGTATTCTCTCTACTCAAATTATTCGTACTTTTTTTTCGAACATGTAGAATTTAGAATTTCTTTAGTCGATTTTAGTAATATTGTTATCTTATTATCTACTATTATAATTACATTGTCATCTATAGTTACGTAATATTTTATTCCATTAAAACCAAATTAACTAAATTAATAAAGCTGCAATTCAAAAGCATACGAATTTATGGCGATAAAAAATGGTAATTTTTAATCAACTTTTTACAACCAAAATTTTTATTATTTTTGTTAATTTGGAGTACGTGTGAATTTTCAATTATTATATAAAATGTAATCCTTTAACCCTATTTAAGAGTATTTTAATTCTGAATATTTTTTAATAACACATTCTGAATAGCTTAATCAACTGGGCGTAGCCCGTTTCGCTCATGTACACATTTTGTCCAGATTTTATTCTTATAAGATTCCCGTTTCGCCCAGACTAGTTTAAATAAATTTAAAATTAAGGTGGCAATAATTATTTTCAAATATATAATACTCGTATTATAATATCTATGAATCATTCAGCGTTATCCAAATAATAACACAAGGCGATGCTCTTTATTTTCTCTAAAAAAAAAAAAAAAAAAAAATTGTTCTTCAGTTCATAAAAATGATACATTTAATAAATTTAAAATTTAGTTCGCTCTATTTATTAAAACATATTATTAAAAAATCAAATTTACATAGAATTTATAAAAAATATTTCGGCATAACAGGTTTTGCTTGATCTAGATTCGACAACGACTAGATTTCTTATGCGTTATTACTTATTTGCAATCGATTTTATATTTTATTATATTTAAACTATATTTATTTTGACTAAAATTACTATAGGTTTTATAAAAGTCGCCGTATCGGGATCAGAAACTTATTTAGTTGTATGTACAATGGATACCTACCAAATAACCACCATTTCTTTTTGTTGTTCGCTAAAATATAATACTTGAACCATTGTCAAGTTAATTTAATTTATTTAAACTAGAGTGGGGGAAACGAGAATCTTATAATAACAAAATTTGGATGAAATTGACTGGCTTATATGCCTAACTCTAACCTGGCTTATACGATTAAACTGACTGGGCGAAACAGGTCCCGCCTCCTCAACAATTTATATTTTCAGAATGTACAATATATATATATTTTACGGTTTTCAATTGGAGTTGGTAATATTTTAGTATAATTTAATTTATTTGATATATTCATAATAGTTATCATATGTTTAGTTAGGTGTACTGAATAAAGTAAAAATTTTAAATTTAAATTTAGTTCTCCAGCTGAAGCCCACCGAAGCACACGTGTGTTTTCGCTCTCGAGTCTCGTCGAGCCGTAATTACTGGTGCATAATTTAATCTCAATAGCCAATGTGTTATTTTTATACTGCATATTTCATATATTATCTATTTATAAATAATGGTGAAAATATAATATAATATATAATATATTATTTTAATATTTCAATATCCATATAAACCGTAATTGCTCGTTACACGCATTCGCAAATGCGCGTAATTTTGCCGTTCATTTTTTCTTTTCAATTAATTAAATTTTTATTATTATTAGCCGTATCATTAAATGAATAACGCTGTTCAGTCACGCAACACTTCGATTGTTGTTTATCTAAAGGCCGTCGCCTGACAGTCGGATTATTTTAATTACTATACTATACGTAAAGTGATAATCGTAATAGCAACAACAATGAACAAAAACAAATCCGTCACCACGACTCAAATCAATAAGCACAAAAAACTAATACTTAATAGCACTCCGACACTGAGCCCCACGTCAAATAATAACTGGACGTCACAAACAAAAAAAAAAAAAAATTGCTCAAACTCACGTATTATACATATATACTGTTATACCGGTATCAGACCTTTCCCTTGATGCTCAACAGTAGCTGTGTGGACCTTCGTCATTGACCGTAGCAGAAACCATGCAACTTTCCGTACCGTCCGAGGAGTTCAGGAGCCGTCACCATCGATCCAGTGAGCTATCGCCGTCCGAGCCAAACGAGCCACCATCGTGTAAAGTGCCCGCTCGACATCCATTTCGGAGTACGCCGAGTTCACATCGTCGATACAACTACCGGTCCCATAATCTTACCGACGGAGCATTACCATGGTCTGCGGAGCAGTCATTTCCCTAGCCTACTGTGTGTCGGTGCGTGTTAATGATTCATTCGACGCTACCATAGGCTACGCTGTATACTAGCGTAGCAGACTGTGTGTAGCACGTTGGCTTTTATATAATTATCTTATCACGTCCATTGACACTACAGCTTCGTGAGTAACTACACATTATTATATGAATGTTATAATCCATTGTAAACTCGATAATGAGTATTGTCTTAATGTAAATGCATATTGCATATATATATATATGATCATTATATAAATAATTATAATAATAATATATATTTTAATTTATTTTTAATTTAATTTATTAAATAATAATACATTTTTCAAATATTGCCTCGAGATTACACAAATGTTCCTCAAATGTTTCTGACATGATGTGGATGTTATCGACATAAATCGCTACGTATAGTAATATTTCCGGTCCGAGAACCTTGTCTAAAATTTTCTGAAATTCGTCAGCGGATGTAATAAGTCCAAATGGAAGTACATTGAACTGATAGTTTTGACCTTGAAACAAAAATGCCGTTACTTCACGACATTCTTTTGCCAGTGGACACCGCCAATATCCTGCAGTCAAATCCATCGAGCTCAAATATTTCGATCCTTTGAACTTCATTAATATATCCTCAATATTCATTGGTTGTTCTCTATCTGGTATAATTCGTTGATAATTTTCCTAGCATCTAACACACTCGTATATTCCCATTTTTTTTCAATTCCCACAATTGGTGATAACCATGGTGATGACGATTTTTCTATGACACCCATAGTCATCATACGATTTATTTCTTCTTTAATCTTGTCTATTTTAAGCTGCATGTCCCCAGCCCCCCCACCTCGGACTTTCGACTTCAAATTTTTACAGTCGTTTGTGCTTCATTTGTGCTTGTTTGTGCTTTTATTCCCGTCGTTTGTGCTCAACCCGTTTCCGAGTTATTGAACTTTCAAGGTGGGGGGGCTGGGGACATGCTCAGCCCCCCCACCTCGGACTTTCGACTTCAAATTTGTACAGTCGTTTGTGCTTCGTTTGTGCTTGTTTGTGCTTTTATTCCCGTCGTTTGTGCTCAACCCGTTTCCGAGTTATTGAACTTTCAAGGTGGGGGGTTGGGGACATGCTCAGCCCCCCCACTACCTCGGACTTTCGAGTTCAAATTTTTACAGTCGTTTGTGCTTCGTTTGTGCTTGTTTGTGCTTTTATTCCCGTCGTTTGTGCTCAACCCGTTTCCGAGTTATTGAACTTTCAAGGTGGGGGGGCTGGGGACATGCTCAGCCCCCCCACTACATCGGACTTCCGAGTTCAAATTTTTACAGTCGTTTATACTTGTTTTTGCTTTTATTCCCGTCGTTTGTGCTTAACCCATTTCCGAGATGTTAAACATTGAAGGAGGGAGGGGCCTAAAGACATGCTTAATAAATTCAAAATATATTTAAACACACTTTTTGTGTATATTGTTTTATCAACACATTTTATAAAGTAAACTTAGTATATGTAAGTAACCAATTTTTTATTTATTATCGACCTGTTCGTTTATTCCAAGTTTGTGCAGATTTGTGATCAAATTTCGACAGAAAATTCTGATTTACTTGGGTTTTTTTTTTTCATACTTTAAGTAATGACCAACATATTTTTTTTAAAAATGAATTTGCATACAAAATAATAAGACCTTTTCTCTTTGTTTATATTTGAGAAAACCAAAACAATACGTTCATTATTGAAGGATATCTATTTTCCAATTTATAAATGCCAATCACCTTTTTTAAATTAAATAACATTCAAACAATTATTATTATATCATTAGCTTTTTACACAGCATATATTTATATAATAAAATATTTTTCATATGACAAATTTTCTTAGGTATACATTTAATAAAAATGTAATCATTTATTGATTTCTTGAAATATAAAGTAATTCAACAATAAATATGAAAGTATATATATGTAACATTTTATAAAAGTTTTAAATTAAAATTACAAAAAATATTTTACTAATAATAACAAATTTGATATAAGTATAAGAACATTTTAACATTAATTACAAACGTTTAAAAAAAAAACAGATATTATAATAGTTATTTACGTAAAAATTAAAACGTATGAACATTTTAATTAAAAAATAAATGACACATTACAGTTTTTAAGTTTTTGAATAAAATTTTAAATTAAAACATAAATTAATTATTTAAAATACATTATTTAAAATGCTTTTTGACTTATTCAAATTAAACAAATATACTAACATTAGTAACCTAATACTTTTTTATTTAGTGTACAGTATGAATTGACAGTTAACATTTGTGGATGCTCTTACGTATCGTGTGGAATGCAGTTGGTCATCATATCGTTCCCATGTAATATTAGTTTCCCTCCAATTGTATGATACATAATGCCCAATTGCATTAATGTTTTTGGATTTTGGTATTATGAAATTAATAATACCTCTGAGTGTGAATTTGTTATGTAGCACATTTATTGTTGTTGGAATGTCACTCAAAACGACAGTTAATTCAAAGTCTAATTTTTTTTCCCAACTCAAGACTTTGGAAAACAGGTTCAATGAAAAAATGTTTTCCAAATGTAAAATTTGTTTTAAATTTTGTACATGGTCCGCAACGTGCTAAAAACCATTTTTGACCACGGGATGGTGAAGATAATATAATAAAGGAACTATTGCTATTACTGATTCATTCATCCTCACGACATTAACAGATTTTGTTATAGAATTAATAAACTTGTATTAACGTTTTATTGATATTTTGTATCTACTAAAAGCAAACCGAAGGTGGTTTGCGTACTTATGCAATTTCATCAACCATGTGTTATTTACTATTATAAATTATAACTTTTAACGTTTTGCTAAATAGACACCAGTCTTGTAAAGTATTCGAATACTTTTTGAAGTATTTATATGCTATTCTGAATACAATTTATTTTTTTTTTATTTTTTAAGTATTTTGATTATTTCTTAATTGTATTTTTACTAAAATTTAAATACTTGTATTAAAATATCATAAAGTATTTTATTAATTTTAATTTATTATTTAAAAAAAAAAATCGATTTTGTTGAAAACTAATATTATGTTTTTGTATAGTAAAAGTAGGTAGGTAATAGCAATGTTACCACACTAAATACCACATTACATTTTATATAGTTTCTGTTTTGGAATTTTTTAAGAAAACTGAAAATCTAATAAATTTAAAATAGTTCCAAATTAATAGTAATATCACCAATTTTTATTATATTTTTTTCATTGAAATTTAATCATTATTAGTTAAATTATATGTGAATGCAGAATGAAATATGTGAACATGTATTTATCTCTAAATAGTCAGACATGTTATAATAATTGTTAAGATTCATGGAAAGTAGTAACATAATAGTTACCTATACTGGTGTACAATACATTTATATATAATATAGCATAAAATTAAAAAAAATACTTGGATTTGTATTCAAATACTTTGTAAGTATTCATAAAATACATTTTTATAATAGTATTTTAAAAGTATTTTTAATACTTTTTTATTCGAATACTATTATTAGTATCTTAATACTTTTTCAAAAGTATTGTTTATAAACTGTGTTTACGGTTAGACACGTAGGTATGCATAAGTTTCAGTGCGAATTCGCAGTAGCCTACCAGATCTAAAATTCCGTGGCCGGATAAAATGGTCGCTTAAACGTCAATCCAAATTTAAAAATGACAAAATAAAAAAGGTTTCATACAATTTTAAAAACGTGTTATGATATTATCATAGAAGTTTTTTCAAAATGAAAATTCATCAATAATTATTATATCACTTCGGGGTTTTGGTGAGAAGAGCTCTTATTGTTTTAAAATACACGTAAAAATATCAAATATTTAAATTTTTGTACGCAAATTAATTAAAAAAAAAAAAAATAAAGTGGGTCATTATAAAAAAAATCCCAAGTAAATCAGAATTTTCTACTGAAGTTTGATCACAAATCTGCACAAACGTGGAATAAACGAACAGATCAATAAGAATAATTGGTTAGTGGGGAGGCTAAGTCCTTAGGCCCCTCCCTCCTTCAATGTTTAACATCTCGGAAATGGGTTAAGCACAAACGACGGGAATAAAAGCAAAAACAAGTATAAACGACTGTAAAAATTTGAACTCGAAAGTCCGATGTAGTGGGGGGGCTGAGCATGTCCCCAGCCCCCCCACCTTGAAAGTTCAATAACTCGGAAACGGGTTGAGCACAAACGACGGGAATAAAAGCACAAACAAGCACAAACGAAGCACAAACGACTGTAAAAATTTGAAGTCGAAAGTCCGTGGTGGGGGGGCTGGGGACATGCAGCTTCTATTTTATACATTGGTATAGGATAGGACCGTTGATATATTGGTTTTCTCGGTGAAACTTTTATCTGGCATGTTTAACTGTTTATTCTTCCTGGATTATTAGAGAATATATGTTCGTATTTTTTAATTAATTGTGAGAATTTTATTTCCTCATTATTGGTTGCTAATTCTAGGTTTTTTATTTTTTCTGTGCTTTCTATAATCCTGATTTTTTCTTCTACTAGTACTGTTTTCGGTGCTTTACTTGAGAATGGAGTTGTATGTTCTAAATTACTGTTGTTCCACTGAACCGTTCGGTTATTAAAATTAATTCGTGCGTTTTATTGCGTTAATATGTCTGCACCAATAATGCTTTTCTCGTTCAGATTTTCTATCTAAATGAAATTTACAAATATGGTTAGAGTACCTATTGTACCCACACAATATATCTGTCTAGTTATATTGCATATTTTTTTTCCCACGGCATTAATAATCTGTACTCCGCTAACTGGTAATACGGGCGTGCGGTTATTTTTTTTGATGATCAAGTCTATTACTTCTTTGATCAATACACTTACGGTGGCACCAATGTCTACAAGTAAGTGAATTTTTTCTCCTTCAATTTAGCATTGTAAGTAAGGGCTCGTATTATGATTCTTAGCTGGCATATTATTTATACTGTGTACCGTTTGTTCTACTTGGTCTTCAGTCGTTACTTGGTTAATCTGTCTGTTACTTGCTACCTGTTGATTTTTGCTACTATTATTTAGTTGAAAAT